GGGTTAAGGTGGTCTGAGTAAGATGGTTAGGGTTAGGGTTAAGGTGGTCTGAGTAAGATGGTTAAGGTTAGGGTTAAGGTGGTCTGAGTGAGATGGTTAAGGTTAGGGTTAAGGTGGTCTGAGTGAGATGGTTAAGGTTAGGGTTAAGGTGGGTCTGAGTAAGATGGTTATGGTGGTCTGAGTAAGATGGTTAAGGTGGGTCTGAGTATGATGGTTCCGTCCCGATTTCGAATATGATCTAGTGCCGACCGATCCAAAAGGGCATAGTGACAAAGTGGGTAAATGCTATTGCTAGTGTGAGATCAATAAAGTCTATCTTATCTTATTCATGTTTTTAAAACTCACAAACGGGAGTGTCCCAGTCCACCATTTTGTACCTTGTGGGTGGAGCCGTCTAATTTTAAAAGCTCATCAAGGAGACACACCCAAGGGACAGGACTGTTCGTTGTGCTTGTCTAAAATATATTTGCTGTTTTACACCTGTTAATATGAGTTCTGCCATCTCCTTATGACACTCGGGCCAGCACACAGGTCAACAGCACATTTCATTATTTATCAACTTTTCTGTTACTTACGAATCTATGGTTTTTGATTGAGGCGTCAACTAAACTTAACTACATTGAATCTGGAGTACACAACTTTGAAACCACAAAAAATACCCAATAAACAGCATGTAACTAGTTCTTCCTGGCTCTAAAAACAGTTAAGTTCCATCACAGGTTTTCACATTTAGCCTGTAGTCAAGTATTTCTGAAGCCCAAGCTCACTCAGCCAATCAGCTCTCAGTCTGTAAAAGATAAGATAAATCTACGTCGTGGTCTGGTTCGTTCACAAAATGTTACTGAAACAATTTAATCAAAAGAAGAGAGCAAAAAGATTGTTCTGTAGTCTGTGTTAAAATCGTAAAAAAAAAAAACACGTGAAGGACTTTTCTCATTTAGAATAATAAATCGCGAGCAACAGGCCTAATTACTAATCCTTCAGAAACCCAAGGGAGAGAAAAAGAAACTCAATTCACTTGTTTTAGTGAAGGGTAGTCTGGGGGAATCCCGATTTAACCATTATTCAAAGTAAGCAGCTAAATATATAGTAGGATCAAAAATAAAGTTTGGAAAATGGTAACTACAAACACAACACATGTTTGAGGAATACCACAATAACAAAGAGACAGACTGACAATTCCGGCTGTACAGAATTACAACTTTTCAATCTTCCATAGAATTCATGCAGACATTGATTACAATATACTTAAAGTAGCAATATGTAAGATTTTCATGTCAAGTCATCATCAAAGGGCACTAATCTGTCATCATTAAAGGGCCCTAATCTGTCATCATTAAAGGGCCCTAATCTGTCATCATTAAAGGGCCCTAATCTGTCATCATTAAAGGCCCTAATCTGTCATCATTAAAGGGCCCTAATCTGTCATCATTAAAGGCCCTAATCTGTCATCATTAAAGGGCCCTCATCTGTCATCATTAAAGGGCCCTAATCTGTCATCATTAAAGGGCCCTAATCTGTCATCATTAAAGGGCCCTAATCTGTCATCATTAAAGGGCCCTAATCTGTCAAAAGGCATTAATGAAATATGCTCTTTTCCAATACTTCTGAAAACCGTAGTTTTCCACCACCCAAATCTTGTTATTGTTTTCATTTCGATGTCCCGCCCTCCACCGTTTCACCAATCAGAAAGTCTGTGATCCGGGCGCCAGAACTCACAGCGTGGAGCTAATCTCACTGGTAAAGTACCATGTGGCGCAGAACTAAAAAAGGTCTCGTTATGATTCTCAATCATTAACGACAAAACAAGGAATAAAACCAGGATTTCTATCTTTGTGAAAAAGGTGTTGGTTATAGATTTATTGTTGACAAAACTCTTGTCTATTCAGCTGTTATGGTCCCAGCTGGATTCGTCTGCATATCTGGCAACCTGAGTCAGGGAGAGTGGGAGAGGCTGCAGTACCACTTTTGGCAACATTTATACATACTACTCTTTTAAAAGGAAAAATACTCCCTTCAGAGGGTTTTGGGGGGAAATGTGTCTGTTTTTGGAGCAGCAGCACTGAACAAACATTTGGAGCCGTGTCCTCGATGGCAGAGGCTGTGAGTGAAACAGGACCCACATGGAAGCACTCAGGTTTCCACCGCGCTCATATGTCACCTTATACATACACCACTCCAGCTCCTCGTGGTCACAACCCTCACGTAAACTTTGAGGATACAGTTTCACGGCTATACTCACTGCCAAAGTGTATATCATTAGGTGCACAGAAAGCCGACATGTAACTTTACAACTCCAAATCTAAACATAATCCGCACTAACGTTCTTTTTATAACTACATTAAAGCTGCACTAACTGACTTTATTTTTGTATTCATTACTAAAATGCTATCCATGTCCGTGTAGGGCATTGGGATATACGTCCTTTTGAAGAAAAAGTAGTGCAGATTTGTGCTGGCGTGACATTATATTTTAGATCGAGTTTTGATGAAACAAGGAAGAGAATGTGTTTCGGGTCGCAGATTGTGACCAATCACAGCGCACCACTAGCCCCCACTTTCGTGAGAAATCTACAGGTCTGTTAGCATAGACAGCTGAGTTAGCACAACAAGCAGAGGAGCTAACCTGAAGCTTTGTGTGTCTTCGTCACCGGTTACTGCTTACACAGCGAGACAGCCATCCAAAAGAAAGTCCCGTTCCTCCGCTCTTCCCGGTTCTATCGTTCTATGGTCACGCCATCCACGTGAAAATCCATATCCATGTATTATCCATATTGGAAGACGCTAGCTACGTCCCAACAGTGGGTGTGTGTGGGGGGCGATAGCTTCGTGGGTGCGGGGAGGGGAGCAGAAAGAGAGAGGCCAGCGAGTCCGCGGCTTCAAAATCCCAAAGTCAGTTAGTGCAGCTTTAATGTGGACTTCTGAATAACTCCTGGTTCTAGGTGAAAGATAATGACGCTCTATTGGACTAAGAGAAGACACTTACAGTCACAATACAAAGGTCATTATGATATGAGGCCATATACACCAGCACTAAACAATAATATGGCCACAGTAGCTCAGTCGATAGAGCATTGGCCTTTAAGCCTGAAGGTCGTGGGTTCGATCACCCCACAAGACCTACTTCAACTGCTCCCACTGATGTCTACTGTTATTGTGTCCTTTGGCAAGACACTTAACCCCACAATGCCCGAAGCCCCCACTGACAGTGCAGGGGGATCAGCGAGGGGCTGGTGTTATGTGCATTTGGTGGCATCTCTCATTGTCACCCCCCGACCCAGAAATAGATTGATAAAGGGTTTGAAAATGAATGAATGAATGAATAAACAATAAGGTGTTGGATCAAACTAGTGTACACCGAGATCTTGTGAGATTCATCTGATTATCTGTCTCACTATTGAGCAGCAGAGTAAGTGCAGGACCAATTTGGATTATTTGGATTCGGTTTGATCCTCTCTACCTAATCCGCAGCACATTTACCACAAACACAGGAGCAGTGATGCTGAAAACAACGCAAGGTTCAGTTGTATTTTGTAGTAACTTTTTACACCATGTGAAAAAAATATATTATGTTCATTTAAGTTCCATTAAGTTGTACATTTCAACTGGGAAATAATCCACTTTGCAGTTGATTGAACAACTTTGATATTTAAACAAGTGGATTGTAATGAGTGAGCTGAGTAATTGCTAGTTATTAATTTACTAACCAGCATGAAACGGGACGGTGTAGAAAAAAGAAAAAAAAGATAATACTTTATAACTCATCCTTATGAAGATTGTTTTGGCTTAATGGAAAGAATGGCTCAACTAATCGATTATCAAAATAGTTTTGTGGTTTATGGGACAAACTTCATGCTTTCTTGGTCTGAAAATCAGTTGATCCAGATTTCCAGTGTTGTGACTGCAATTAGTGACTCATTAATCAAAATAAAACATTACATACTGTTTTGAATGGAAACTTCTTCCTATTAGAGGGATCTGAGGGAGTGCGTAAAAGGTTTTGAAATAGCAATGTCTCTCTTTTATAGTCTGTAGATATAGTCGGCCTACTGATATATAATCTGTAGTTGTAATTTGGCAAACAAACTGAATGTACTTGGTCCGTAATGCTTCACACACTATCAACTTCCACATTCAAGCCTAATATCTGTCCGACTCAGCCATATTCAACACATGCAGGGTTAGTGTTATTATCATTTTCTCATGATTATAAGGAAAGTATAATTTGGCACAGCAATAATAACAATCATCATCATTACCCTTTCAGATGTTATTGGTAAACACACTAAAAGAAAGTCCCTGTTGCACCTGATCAGCAGGTCTAGTGAAGTGACAGTGCATGAGGAATGTTGTTGTGACGTATCAGGCTTAAGTGACAAAAGGAGAGATTTTCCAGTGCCACTCCCTCCTCCTGCACATTCCTGTCCTCCATTATGTTGTATAACTCCGTACACTGTGCTCCAACAAAGCAGCAGAGTGTACAGGCTTGGGGCAAAAGCAGAAAACAACCCTCCCATAATAAAACACACACAATACCTTATGAGCAACGTTGGACATTCACATAAAGTTTGACACTAGTCTCAACAAAATATCTCTTGAGCAATCCCGAATGGGCCATTTCAGACAAGTTGTTTGTCTAAGTCAGTGCATTTGACAAGACCTGGCATCAAATGATAAAGGGCAAACAACAAGACCTGGTAGAAAATGGGTGTGGGTCAACGACAGAGCAGAGTGACGGGCTTTTTCCAAGTGCAAAGGTCCACATCATCCAAATGCATTACATCTGATTACAGCATAAACAGGCCATCCACCAGGAAACAAATCCACTGGGAGTCCTCCATGACCCCAAACACACATTTCAGCTCAAGTCAAGGCTTGTGTGAAGTCTGGCTCACATGTGCACGCTTTGGACAGGTAGTGGGATTAGCGACGTCGGCTGATTGCACGCCTAAATATTTAATTATCACTTTTATTATTAATCATTTCCCTGTTGATACTTACACAACGCATCTCGAGATGAGCCAAGACACCATCCTGATCGCCTTTGTTGAGGTGGTAACAATAGCAGTCGTCTCCTTCTCGGTCTTGCGCGGTGCAAACTTATTACGGGCGAAAACTCCGCGATCTACACGGCTATTTCCGCTCGCTCCCGACGCGTAAAAACCCCCAATCCGTCTGAAACCAGGATGTGTTATGAATCCGTGTCTTATGCCATGGTTTGGAGAGCTGTTTTCGCCGTGTTGAGCACCAGGTTGGCTTCTCTTCTCACTTTAGAGCTTTCAGTTCCTGCCCCGTACGAGACTTGGGTAGCAGCGACGTAACCAGGAAGTAACGTGCAGTGCGAGCCTCCCATTGGCTGAGCACGTTTGTTTACAAATATTGCGTTTTCCGATTGGTTAAACATGTTTGCTCACGTGATAAAAGATAAGTTTCAATATTTACAGTTTATGGGTTGCGTATGAATAAAATTATGTAACATTTAGCTTGTTAATACATTGATATATGGAGAGAGCCTATTCTATTTGTGTTCTAATCTATTCTATTTGTGTGTGTTACAAATAGCATGTAGGGGATATTGTGATATGTGTAAATAGGTTTTAAAATGATTTTGTATTCATAAAAGGGTTGCATAGTTCCTGTATTCGATTTGTAAAATGTACATATGCTCTTTGAAAACATGTGACGTGAGATCTGACGTACATAATGGCCAAAGAAATAAATTAACTACTATTACTATTTTGTCTGCATTTGTCTGATTTGTCAATGCAACCAGGGAAATCTGAGGAGTTTTTCTATGTATTCTGTATTTCTGTCCATACACACATAACAAGACTGAATTGTCTGCTCTGATTGGCCAAGCCTCAAAGAATAAAAGGATCATGTAAACATTATAGATACATATAACAGACTCTGTATACAAAACTTATATTAAATTGTATAAAATTCTCATTAAAATAAAACTCCACTTTGCATATGGTAATGTATTGTTCTCATTTTAAAATATTACATTTACAGATAGATGGAGAGAGATAGGTATATACTGTATCTAGAAAGACAGACAGATAGATGATTAGTCTACAGCATATTATTTCAACATTAATTTTCAGCGTATAGCAGTATGAATATAGTGCCACCATGGGAGAATAATGTAGATTGAGATTGCAATATTGAAATGTTAACTATGGGCTTCTTTGTGATCACAGAGGTTTGTATGCGGCGCGTGTAGTCTGCATGAGCGTGCATGAGAGAAAGAGGGGGTGGTGAGTTCAGACCTACTTGTTATTCATACAGCGGCTGCAGCGGTGTGCAGCCATGTGAGCACATCTCAGAGGAGCCTTTCTGGTCACATATAGAGTGTCTGGTCGGGACTGGGGGATGACAGAACCCTCTCCCCTCTCCCCCCCCCCACCTTCATCCGCTGTACCACTGAAAAATACATGACCAACACATTGCACAGACATATGCATTATTCACTGTGCAAAGGAATTTCAGCCACATCCATTCATGCGCCTTCACAGATGATAAAATATGACTGTGTGACAACTCTGTTATAAAAGATAAACCTGGTGGCATCTGATAAAAAGCAAGGGTCAGGTGCGCATTACTTGCAGCTTTGACCCTGTCCCATGCTTGTATAAAAGCGTATTCTGGCATTTCCATCCAATCCTAGGCAGCTGTATGATCCCAGTTATAGCCAGTACAGATGAAAAACATGCATTCACCGCTGGCAAAGATAATCACACTTTTGTCAGTTTGCCTCAAGGGCGACTGTGGCTACAATACATGAATTGAGAAGAATGATGATCTTGTAAGGCTTGTTAATAATCTGTAAAAGAAAAATTGTATTAGGAGATGTGTCTATATGATTCATAGTGTAAAACCTGCCCTGTCAGGCTCTGTATGTAAATATCTATCTACAATAAAGCATCTATAGGTTATTTTTGGGGGAGACTGCTCTAGAACTGGCTGTTCAAAGCTGCTGGTCACGTGTTCTTGTGAAAGTCTCCAGCACGAGGACGTTACCTGAGCTGCTCCTTCACGCCCGTCTGCACATTGTGGCCATATAGACGCATATAGCCCATTATTCTTTTGTCCTGCTCCCATCTCTCCTCTTGCCCGGAGGTGGCTCTGCCGGGCTGCGTCTCACACACAAACCCCGGCCGTGTCCTCAAGATCCCTCAGATGAAGAAGCCGCCACGTTTTCGCCCTGAAAACCAATGAGACTCTTTGTACATTATATACAGTCAAAGTGTATCGCCGCTAAACTCCTTTTAAAAATAATACTGATTAAAAAAAGTAATTACAACATGCTTTGGCTGTTTCACAAAATAGGTGTACTGGTTTCTCAATCTTCAATTAGACAACTTCTACATATGCCAAAAAACACAGTTGCACAAGATAGAGATAAGATTAGATAAGATTTGTAGATATTTAGATTATAGGGCATAGTAAATAACACCTGTAATTACATATGTCAGATTATAGCAGATATGCTAATTACCAGATGTTTTTCAGAGGCAGAAATAGGTAAGATATGGTATATTTTTGGTCCCACAAGGGTGAAATGTTGGTTTTACACGGTTCAAAAACAGTATGAGAACTAAATAAAGTGCACTCAAAAACAAAACACATTTGTATTGTTGGGAAAAAAACGGCTTAGCAATCACACTAATCTGATACTCAACATAAGGTGTAAACATGATGATAATAATAATAATAATAATGTAATAATGATAGTGATAATAATATATCAAACAACGCTATGCAATTCCTTGTCACTCATTATAGTCAATGAGAAATGAGAAAAACAAAAAAATCACATGGAGCCAACCTGGTTATTTGCTGTATTTTCCCTCTCTCCCTCTCTCTCTCTCCCTCTCCCTCTCTCTCTCTCCCTCTCCCTCTCTCTCTCTCCCTCTCTCCCTCTCTCTCTCCCTCTCTCTCTCCCTCTCTCTCTCTCTTTGTTCTTATTCAGTTTTTATTGATCGGTTGAGCTTTCAATTCACACCCAAACAAACCCGACCATTGACAGCCTTGACCAAAAGTTGCGTGTGGAGGACGCCTGTGAAAAACACAAAACATTGGAGCGACTGCGAAAATAGTGCGGTGCGGCTGCGCGGAGGGACACGCCGCGGCTGTGGTCTGCTTTTCGGATCTTGCGGAGAAACACAAGTATGGACGGCGGCGGTGATGCGGTTCAGTGTTCCACAGTTTTTTCACGCGCAGAGAAAAGATCCAGGCGCGGGTGGAGACTGCTATACATTTAAATCCCCCGGGTGGATTTTTCAGCTTTTCTACCAGCTATACACGCCTTTTACATTTTCTTTCTAGCGTAGGGTTCGTTTAGAGTTGCTTTCATGTCGTAAATGACGGGTCTGTAGGGGCGTCGTTGTTGGGAAGTTTTTTGGGGGGGTTTGGAGACTAGCGCAGGGCCATGGCAGGCGACGCACGGCCAGAGCTGGTCGGAAAACGGTTCCTCTGTGTCAGCGGGGACTCGCCGCCTGAAATCGGTGATATAGGCCGGTGGTCGTGGCGGTCCGGGGTCATACGAGCCGTGAACCACCGCGACACGGACATTCTCGACTTGACGGTAAGGGGAACGCTGACTTTGTTGTGCGCGTCTTTCCACTGCTCCATGCAAAGCCATTGGGGATCTGTGTGTGTTCTGTGGCAGTGACAGACACAGCCAGAGGGAGATTATCTGGAAGTTTATTACAGTTTAATTACACGTATAGGGAAGTCTGGGTGTCTTTGCTTAGACTGCTGTCCATGCGACCCGGCAACGGATGAAGCGGAAGAAAATGGATGGATGCATGGGTTTCATTGACGCGGCTTGTGGTTGTATGTGATGTCCCTGTGTCTTTGTCATCTGAAAACTGTTGGCTATTTCACTCATTAACACGGCAAGTTAATGTAAGACAGTCCTCCAGCAGGGGGTTTGAAGACACATAGACCCAGTTCTGACCAAACTAGACAGTGCTTATTCACAAACTAACTATTTAACACTAAACACGCCAGTTGTCTTTGTGTGGAAAACTGGCTGTAATTCATGACCTACATCACGTTATGGAGTAGGTTCATCTGAATGGTATTGTAGTTTCCCATAACAATCTGATGACTGACTGCTTATTGTAACACCACTGCTGTTTATATTAGTTCATCCCCAGCCGTGTCTGCTGCATTCTAATAAGCTGTCTACATGTTTTACCCTACTCAAGTGACCGTCTGAAGAGGTGCATTTCCAGAAATCGGGGACAGGATATGGTCCAAGTGTGTGTTGGGTGACAGGGCAGGAGAGTGACACCTTACCTCTTGTTTGCCAGTCACAATCCACGTTATTTGAGCGTGATAATTGACCTCAAAGCTCCGTCTGGCTGTGTTTTTCTGGTGGACAACAACCGCATTCGGAGCTGGACAGAGACGCAGGAATGCTGACTTGTAAAAACAGAAAAAAAAGTCTCTGCTGCAGGCTTAAGGAGTGCCTCTGTGTCTTTACTATCGCTGGAGTTGATTGTTATTCTATAGGTCACGCTGTCATTCATGTAATGCCAAATGTCTGTTTGTTTTTGCCACATAGGTGCAGAATGAACGGTGTGTGTGCCCTGACAAGCCCTTGGTGTTTGGCTGTACTGTACTCTGCGCTGCTCCTTTGTTCACAGTGTTCTTCAGCAGCAGATATGCGTGTTCTCATCCCATTGTTCAGACTGTTCTTCACTTGCTCCTGCAGATAGTGGCATGTCGTGGTTATTGCATCATGGTCAGACCTGGCTGGACATTCAGAGGATGTGTGTGTGACTGGGTGACAACACTGATATGACTCTAGCGTCGGTCGTGGCGATTGGATTGGATTGGATTAAGAGTGGGATGAGAGCCAGGTTGGACAAGCTGTTATAGTTTGGAATGAGAATGAGGCAAAGACACGCTCAGTTTCCACATGTTGTTTGTGATTCAAAAGCGTTCTCTATTCAGCATGTCGTATCAAAGCCATGTTTTGTAATTATGATAAAGTTCTAATAACTTTAATAAGCAGTATTGGTAATTACATGGATATTACCGTTTACTACACATATCGTTCTGGCGTCAAGCGAAGCAGCAGAATTATCTTGGTGTCGTGAAGAATGGACATGAAATCATTAAATTAGAATATTATGACTTATTCTCCACTATGTATAAGATAAAAAAAAATATGGATTGTATGTCTTTGTCAATTTTCTCCAGTCTACAATGTAACAAAAAACCATAGATCTTCTTAGGCAATGATGTTGACATTTACAGTGTGTCAGTGTGTGTATATTAGGATAAATATTAATAACAAAACATTCTGCTTTCTGATTTGACTGAAAAACCTGCACTGCTATTGCCGCTCTTTCTTTTATTGCCACTTTTTATTGTACATAATTATATCCTGCACAGACTCTATCTTTAACCTTTAACATGTTGCACACTTCTGTCTTTTGCACATTCTGAGTGATTCTATCTGTGCCAAATGTGACATGTACATTTCTCCAGTGTGAGATCAATAACGTTTATCTTATCTTAAAGTGATAGTCTGTAACTCTAAATGAATTACAAATTTTAGGAAATGTGTTAAATTGACCTCCTGGCCTTAAATGTTGATATAAAATAAGTCATTTTATTAATTCTAATATTACAGGCAAGTCCCGCCTTCCCTGCTCTTAGCTATAGTTCAGAATCCACGGTGCCGTCGAGGTTAACCAATCGAGTCATGCCAAGGGCTGTCAATCATCGGCGCTGATGCTCGCAGCTGCTCATGCGCAGTTGTTTGTTTTCGCGGAGCCTCTAAGGCTCTGGAACTACATGAAAACTGAACAAAGAATTCTGAACATCCGCGCTGAGGTACTTATGTATATACTGAACCTATATCCATAATCAGATCCTCTGCAGATGTGTCCTATAATGTGCAATTCATGATAATAGCACTTCCTGGTTTGCCGCGATCGCTTTTTTGTATGCATAAAAACATATTTTTTTCATTAAAACGTTCACAAATAATTCTGAAAACCTCCGTGCATGTGTATTAATAATGTATATGTATAATATGTTCTCTGATTAACATTTCAAAGTGTTACGGAAACGTAGGTGTAGACCAATCAGAAAGGGAGGGGGAGGGAGCTTGCGTCGTTATTTTCAAATCAAGTACGTCTCTGTCTCTCTTTCTGACAAACTCCAGACAATCACTTTAATCGTCCTGAGAACCACAATATATAAAATGTTGACCTCCAAATGTAGACATCGTGTTCTTTGTGTTTTCAATTTAGAATAAATCCATGTTACACTTTTGATGAGAAAAGACTAGGATTTGTTCACATCGAGCTTATGCCTGAGGAGAGAGAGAGGAGGAGGGCGGAGATGTAATTAAAACATATGACACTGTTTCTTTAAGGTTCAGTCAATTGCACCTTATGCAGAATATTTGCTTCACTCATACACAGATAGGAGAGGTGCAGTCATATGGATCAGGTGGAGTCATATGGATCAGGTGGAGTCATATGGATCAGGTGGAGTCATATGGATCAGGTGGAGTCATATGGATCAGGTGGAGTCATATGGACTAGGTGGAGTCATATGGACTAGGTGGAGTCATATGGACTAGGTGGAGTCATATGGACTAGGTGGAGTCATATGGATCAGGTGGAGTCATATGGACTAGGTGGAGTCATATGGACTAGGTGGAGTCATATGGACTAGGTGGAGTCATATGGACTAGGTGGAGTCATATGGACTAGGTGGAGTCATATGGATCAGGTGGAGTCATATGGACTAGGTGGAGCCATATGGACTAGGTGGAGTCATATGGACTAGGTGGAGTCATATGGACTAGGTGGAGTCATATGGACTAGGTGGAGTCATATGGACTAGGTGGAGTCATATGGATCAGGTGGAGTCATATGGACTAGGTGGAGTCATATGGACTAGGTGGAGTCATATGGACTAGGTGGAGTCATATGGACTAGGTGGAGTCATATGGATCAGGTGGAGTCATATGGACTAGGTGGAGTCATATGGACTAGGTGGAGTCATATGGACTAGGTGGAGTCATATGGACTAGGTGGAGTCATATGGACTAGGTGGAGTCATATGGATCAGGTGGAGTCATATGGACTAGGTGGAGCCATATGGACTAGGTGGAGTCATATGGACTAGGTGGAGTCATATGGACTAGGTGGAGTCATATGGACTAGGTGGAGTCATATGGACTAGGTGGAGTCATATGGATCAGGTGGAGTCATATGGACTAGGTGGAGTCATATGGACTAGGTGGAGTCATATGGACTAGGTGGAGTCATATGGACTAGGTGGAGTCATATGGACTAGGTGGAGTTATATGGACTAGGTGGAGTCATATGGACTAGGTGGAATCATATGGACTAGGTGGAGTCATATGGACAAGGTGGAGTCATATGGACTAGGTGGAGTCATATGGACTAGGTGGAGTCATATGGACTAGGTGGAGTCATATGGACTAGGTGGAATCATATGGACTAGGTGGAGTCATATGGACAAGGTGGAGTCATATGGACTAGGTGGAGTCATATGGACAAGGTGGAGTCATATGGACTAGGTGGAGTCATATGGACTAGGTGGAGTCATATGGACTAGGTGGAGTCATATAGATATGTATTATTAGTGCACATTTACATTATTAAGCCCACGTTTAGAAATATCCAGCATATATCATTTCTAATTCCCAAACAGTTTTTTTATCTAACAGGCAACACAATCCAGATTCACTTTGATGCTGCAGAACTAGTCTAGTCTATATAATTTTCCCGTATGATGGATTAAAAAGAGCCTATAGACACATCCTGTCATATTAATAATGCATGCACTGGATGCTCCTGATCTTCAAGAGTCAGTGCACAAGTAGGAGCAGGAACACTTAGAACATCATAAATATTCACTTTTGAACCTCAGGATTTTAGCAAAAAGGGCCGAAGCCACACAGTCTATATTTTACAGCCCCCAACAGATACGTACGGACAACACTGTCACCACAACTAAAATACCACTGATGTATGTCAAACAGTACAATGATCCTTCTTAGTTAATATTCATAATAATTATCCAACCGTCGAGAGCTAATATATTGTGAATTAATTAAAATCAGGAAGCGAGGCACACAGACCATCAAACAGATTCTTTTTGCAGTTAAAACTTGGCTTCTGTTCAAAATATATTCATAAAATCACGTAAAACAATAAAAACATAACAGATTAGTATAAAAAAAAGGCTAAGATGGGAACAGGAGAAACATATATTGTTTATTGATCAGTTATGGAACGAGAAGAGTCAGATCTTGCTAGAATAAAACGTAGGAATGGACGATATGATATTGTTTGTGGTATAATTTTTAGTGACGTATGAAAACTGAATTGCCGCTAAAGCGTTTGTGCGTCGCTCCGGTGTTAATTTATCTGTGTGCAGCTGCGACAGAGTAAAGCATGAGTAAAAACAGACAAACTCCAAAAAGACCTTTCTCAAGTCGTGCAAAACCTCTTGACCGTAGATTTCTTTGTATAAACAATTGTAAATCCTTGGCTTGGCTCCATTGTTTTTCCCAAAGTTAAAATGCACACAAGCTCCGGCGCTTTCCTGGAAAATGAATTCTTCTTCTT